TGTCTGTCTGCAGATCTCTGAAGGGGGTTGGGGTGTGGAAGCAGGTGCCCCCCTGTCCTTTGAAGGGGGAGGGTTAACGTGTTTTATTGTTGTTGGGGTTGTTTTTTTTTTTTTTTTAAGCTTTCATTTTGTTTTGCAGTTTCTAAAAGAAAACAACCTTGCTCGGGGCAAACTAAAACTTGTGGCAGCAGCAAATGGGTGTGACGGTGGGGGGGTCCCCTCATCAAAGGCTCTTAGACTAAACACCTAGTACAGTTATTAAAAGTGTTTTCCAAAGTGCATTGGGGTATAGGCAGATAAATGCAGTCAAATTTGACAGGCATGACTAAAAAGGAACCACTCTCCTGTATAAAGGATAATAAATCAAGACTCCCTTTGTTACCAGATAAAAACCCTATGAAATCTGACCTGGCTATAGCTGCCACTGATATATATGCAGTGATGGTGCTTATATGACTCCTCAGAGTTAGTTAAGTGCACTATTTGGAGGGATGATTAATTCGTCCTAATATCTAACCACATTTTGCCCTTTTTTAGCTTCACAGCTGTTGAATATAAAAGAGATATAAATTATTTTAAAGAGTGACAGACCACACGTTTGTTGTAGCGGAAATAAAATATATTCTCAGAATAGTGCTCTTCTGATTCATGTTTCTGCTGGCCGGAAGAAGGAATAAAAGCAGTTTCAAGAATTAATTTAATAAGCTAGTAATGGCCTAATTGCTGCTGTTACACAGGTCTGCTCTGCCCTTGCTTGAGTAGAGTTGTTTGTTTCTGCTTCTGGGTAGCTATTGTAATGACATTAATCATCGTTTCTACTTAGCCACTGAAATGTCTGATGAGGAAATCAAAGAAAAGTCATTAGCTTCAGCTACAGCCTGTCTAGAAGGAAAGGCACCTATGGAAAAAGCAGCAATTATTCACCAGCATATTGGTCGCAGAGAGATGACAGATATGATCATAGAGACCATAAAGTCCAATCCAGGTACCCATTCCAAAAGTTTGAAAAGGGTGGTTTTTGGTCCTGTTAATTTCTCTGGTACATTTGTATGGCTATGCTACAATTTGTTGCATAAGTTGTCTCTTAGAAGTATTTAAAATTGGGCTGATTTTCCAAAGTGCTGGGCCTGCAGGATTGCCCATTGACCAAAATCTATTGCCTTACAAACGTAAGGGCATGAAAATGCCAGGTTTTTTTAAGAATTATTTTTTGGGAACGGGTAGGCGAATCCATTTGGCCAGGCAAAGCACTACCCAGCAGGGACAGCCTCTTGCCAGTAAACGCAAAGTGTACACTTGTTTATTTGTGCATGCACATCAGAGTACCCTATCCTTGTGATTAGCAGGCAGGTTTCGAAACTCTCAATTGTTTAATGTAAAATTCGATAACTTGAGGAAAACTAACTTCAGAATGGAGAAAAAAATGCAAAACTAGGTGATATTAAATTCTATAGCCAAACAAATCCCAAGGAAAATTGTCCTGACGACATTGTTTGCTTTCATATTTAATTCAATAAAATCTGTTTTTTAACTGTAGAAAAGTCAGGGTGCTACAGAACTTAGCATGGCACCCTTCAGAGCTTGTCTAGCTAGCTTCACAGCACCCCGGGGCCTTGCCAATAGCTCTCTAATACCGGTGACTAAAGATTCTTAGTAGTTATGTTGATAATTATTGTATGTCCGGACCCCATAGATTAGAACTGTCTGTAATTCTGTTTTCAAAGGGAATTATTTGACTTAACATCTGGCTCTGTTGTACATTAAGATGACAATTAAAGTGCAATTGAAGTTTCTAATGTGTGGCGTGTAATCAGAAAGCTTTTGATTTGTAAAAGATGAGACAAAAGCTGCAATGGAAGGAAGAAAATCTTCAGAGGCTTCATCTGTTGACGATAAAAGTAAACGTGATGGTCAAACTAAAGAATGTGTTGAGGCTGCTCCAGACTCGCCATCTAAGCAACTTCCTGACCAGATTTCCTTCTTCAGTGGGAATCCATCAGTTGAAATAGTTCATGGCATTATGCACCTGTACAAAACAAAGTAAGAACATGCTTAACTAATTATAGACTTAGTGGGAACAGTGCCATAGAATTATGCTGCCATCCAGAAGGGTGAGTCAGTAACCATTGGGGCTGCTACTCCTTGGACTGGCAGAGCAGTGACACACTGGCAGTGCAATTTATTGGCATCCAGAAAGGATTACAGTGCCATCTGAATTGTATAGCTGCAGTAATGGTAGAACCTGAAGCAGGTCCAGGCCTTCCAGCCATGGGTAAGGTCACTTCTGGTAGTGCGTGCTTGTGCCAGGGTTAGAAGTGACGAGATAAGTAAAAATAGTGGCTGCAGACAAACTGGTTTTGAGCAGACTCTGTTGAAGGATATCCCTGCATTCAAATTCCTACAGCAGAAATAGGGTGAGAACCTGCACTTTCCAAATGTGTTGGGGTTTTTTTTATTATTATTTATTTTTATGATAGCACAATTGTGTACTTTGGGGAGCTGAATGAGAATTTCAGTCTCTGATATTCATCGTGAAAGTTACCAGGACACAATGACATGTTGTATGCATACTCCATTTTTAGTGATAACCGTTGCAAACTACAAATGCTCAAAATATTCCTAGAACAAATGAGCAAGTTCCAACTACTTTTCTAAAACTACAGATCTCAGTTTGAAGGGGATGATCTGTCTCTTCCAGTGCTGCACATATCTTCAGCAAATGGTTCATGACAAAATTTGTATGGGCATTTTTAGACTTGTTACCACAACCTCTTGTTAAATCTTAAATGCTTGCAAATAGGTAAAGAGCTTTGAGGTTGGTGTTTAAAATAATGTTAATAGCTAACCATTGGAACTATGAAGCATCAAGTTTTCTTTGTTTTCTATGTAAAATGGCATTGTCTTACAATAGGATGTCTAACTTGACCTCAGTTTAAGACCGTCTAATTATTGTCTTATTAGTAAGATGTCCTCCTTAAAAGAAGATGTAAGGCGCAGCGCCATGCTGTGTATTCTCACAGTCCCTGCTACAATGACCAGTCATGACCTTATGAAGTTTGTGGCCTCATTCTATGAAGTAATTGAACATATGAAAATCATCAGAGATTCCACTCCAAACCAGTATATGGTGCTGATAAAGTTTAGTACACAGGTAAAACCTAAAGATATTAGACTCCTTTGCCGTAGGAACTGTTTTAGAAATGGCTTGTGTATTGCTCCATAGATACTGTTTGAAGGTGCTATCCAACTTCAGCGGTCTGCTGTGTTACCTGAGATCACACACCTTATCCTCTTGCTGTGTAAAGCGAAATGTCTTTCTCACGCTTTCCTTAAAGCGACACTGAGCCTGGTAGGCCTGGAATTAGGCCTGCATCTTGAATGGCTGCTATGGAAGCAAGTGCCTCTCTACCCTACTTCGTACTTTGTCACAGCTGACAGGGTGTTGAAATCTAGACAATCCTGCTTTCGGGTGCTTCAGAAATGACTGTGCTTCTAGTAGGTAGACAAGGATGGACTAAAAGCACAGCATGCTTCTAAACCTACTCTGATATCTTCATGAGCGCGTGGTGCAGAGGGCAGAGCAGAAAGAGCCTGATCAGCGTGGCAGCATTAGTTTTAATAGAAATTAAGGATTGAGAAGACCCATTACCCATCTAGTCCACTGCTCTGAGGAGAGTGGGGCATTTGTCAAGATCAGCAGGACCACTAAACATACACTGTGTAATAAGCTTCCTTTCTCTCAAAATTGGGTGAGGTGGACTAGATGACCAAATACTGTAGTTCTCATCCATGGCTGTCAGAAGGCTAATATTCCCATGTGTTGTGTACATGTATATGCACCCAGAAATGCAGAAAAACCCACTCGATATCAACTTGCTTTGTTTGCACTAGACATTTTCCGAGCAATCTTGCACTAATTCAGCAGAACTGTCTAGAGTTAATTGACTTGGCAACTTCTCATTTGTCTATCAAAAATTGCTGATTTCTGCTCCAGTAGGCCTTCAAAGGCAATTGCTGCATGCAGCAAAAGGCCGTTTGAATTACATTACATCATTATTTGTTTTGTGGAGCTGTATGGCTTGTGTATATATGAAGCGACTTGAAACAATGACATGGACAGACTGGAATCACTTCATATTTTACTATTAAAGCATGGAGGGGGGAAGGAAGAGAGAATGCCCTGAAATCTAGCTCGCTTCACTTGATGGTAGGATCACTTTCTGGAATATCCCAGCATGTTAAAACGTTGCCACCACGTGATGTTGCCACTGAGTGTGTGGCTTGGCTAGTCATTCTGAGGCAGGTAAAATTTTGGGCCTGATGTCTGAGTGTCCCTTCCTAAGTCATACTCTGTTATTGGTAGCTCAATAAATATCTGAGATGCTTTTAAGTGAAATGGATTCTCTCCTGTAGTTAAATTTTATATGCCATCCTTTTCACCTACATGAACGTCAATGTTTTTGAATAGGGCCCTCTGCAGCAATTTTTTTACTCCAAGTTTTTGCAAAGAGACAATATTTGCTTCCCACCCATGCTGAAATTGCTGACTAGGGACAAAACTAAAGAGAGAGATTGGCTATTGCTGTTGAATATTAAGATCATAATAGCTATCCTCATTGTGCACGTCAGTTCTTCCTGCCAATTCAAGTAGAAAACTATTCTGCTGAAACCAATGTGGAAATGAAGGGATCCTGACTAGCAGGAGCGCTCAAGAGATTAACCTATGAAATACCTTTATTTTTGGTAATATCATGGTACTTGGAAAACGTCTCATTTGCCTTACTCCTCTTCAACTGGCTCCCTTTGGTTTGTGCACAGGCTGATGCTGATAGCTTTTATATGGCATGCAATGGTCGACAGTTCAACTCTATAGAGGAAGATGTGTGCCAGCTGGTGTATGTGGAGAGGGCTGAAGTCTTCAAATCGGAAGATGTAAGTTTCTTTTTCTGATATTTTACAAGTGGTTTAATAGGATTATCTGGGAGTGGGCAGGGCAGGCCTGTCTGTGGGGCTGGAGGATACTTAACTGCAGCAAGCCCGACTCGGCCTTTGATTGTTGCAGTACTTCCATAGGGGAGAATGACTTATTCGCTGAACTGATGGGGCTCAGCCCTAATAAGTGATCACTGAAAATTCTCCAGGTCCAAATTTCTTCCTCTTACAGTAGATCTTAGCGATTCCCGAAATCTGAATTGGGCATGGTGCAGATAAACTTACCATATCATGTCTGTGCTTTTGAGAGGCGGTTGTATGTTCTGAATCAGTAATGCTGGGGCTAGGATAGCGAAGCAAAGCATTCCCCCCCCCACCCCCCAAACAAATGGATTATTTTCCTTTCAGATTTATCCGCTGGTATGTTAACCCACAGTAATTCTTCACCCTCACCCTTGCAACACCTCGGTGCGGTGGAATAAATGACCCCTATGGGGAAGCTAAAGCAGAACAATCAAGTGACTTGCGCATGGTCACAGAGAATGTACCGGAGCTGGGAATAGAACCTGAGGCCTGGCTCCTACTCATGTCTCTGGCATAGCTCCTCTCAGATGTTTAGGAAAAATCACTGAAATTTTTTGCCATGCATACAGTTGAGTATTAGTTGTGCACTGTCAATGGTTAGACCAATAATCAAAATAGCTAACGAGGTCAGCCACTGTTGTGGTTTTATTTTTTTGTCTGCATTTAAACAATTCATTTACTCCCTAGCCCTCGCAGGTAGGAAGCAGTAGGGTAAGAGGTTGTGTAGCTAAACGTACATAACTTACCCATAGCATATGGTGTGTGCAGCGATAAGCTTGTGCTCCTCTTCTTGTGAAGGGAGCCAGCCTTCCCGTAATGGATCTGACGGAGCTGCCAAAGTGCACGGTGTGCCTAGAAAGAATGGATGAGTCTGTGAACGGGATCCTTACCACGGTGTGTAACCACAGCTTTCATAGCCAGTGTCTGCAGCGCTGGGAAGACACCACGTAAGAGGCTTTTTTTTCTCCTGATTCAAAACGGTGTGTTTAAGGTGTGGTGGAGCTTTTCCTTGCCTACATTGACAGGACCAGCTCTTCATCGCTAATGCGGGGATGGGAGCTGCTCCAAGCCCTAGTGATCTTTGCCTTCCCTGTTAGGAGGCACAGAAGATAAATCTCCTAGACAAGGATAGTTGGACAAAGCTCCCTCTGGCTCTTCACGGCCATGAGCTATTTGCAGAGCAACACGCAGAATTTTAAAATGCTGTAGGATAGAGATGTCAGTTGTCACTGTTTCAGACACAGAGATCCCATCGTCTATGTCCAGTCTTGCATGGCTCAGCTTCTCCTTGTCTACATTGGGTCAGTGTCCTCTCCAGTGACATGTGGATAACTGAGGCTGTATGGGAGGTGTAGTGCAATAGGTGTCTGTCTTAGATGTTTCCAAAGCTACACAAAGTCTCTGCTCTGAGGCATTTTCAATCTAACTTAGACATTACAATAACGACAAAGAATTGGGCCTGATCGCTAGACCAGACTGTATCCAAGGGGAGATCTTCGCTGCAATGCAAAGCGGAAGGGAAGGGATCAAAAGCCAACAAGGTTACTTGGCAAATGGGAAACGGGAGGCTGCTTCAGTCATAGAGCGCAGCAGGAAAAAACATGGCCCAGACTGAGACCAAGGGGATAAGCGCTCATGTTTCTAGCCAGGGAGCACAGGACCAAGCTTCAGACTCAGGCTGATCCCTTGCCCGCGGCGCTGCTAGCTGCCATCACCATTTCATTACAGCCACCGCTGGGTTTTTCCAGAGGCTTTGTATTTTAACTCAAGTTGTACCCAGCTGCACGTACCTGACCCCTTACTCAAAAGTTTTTAGACATAAAAGTCGGGGGGGGGGGGCGCAGGTTAGGACCTACGTATAGAAGCACAAAACCCTGGTCTGAGTCTTGGTCTCTCCCTTTCTCCTCAGTCCAGTGGAGGCTGAGTGTGCTGAAGCTGTGATGTGCCCAGGCAGTAATCTGGGGGGGGGGGGGGGGGGGGGTGCTTGTGTTTTTGGGGGGGGGTGGGGGGGGGGGGGGGGGGGGGGGGGGGTCAGCCTTGTATTGCTTTACAGTGACCTGTTCTGGAGTAGCAGAGCTAGGCTCTGCCAGGAATCTTGCACCAAAAACTCCATGGAAAGTCCAATGTAAATTTCCACTAAAGAGCGAAGTCGTGCGTAACTGCCATTGAACATTACAAATGTGTGTTGCTGAAGCGTTCGAGAGATCTTATCCTTAAAACGGGTGCATTCTTGCCTTTAATTACTTAACCTTAATCCTTTAGAGTATTTTTGCTCTTCTTAGTTCTACGCATTCCATTTAGATAGTGCAGTCAGATTTGAACATGTCTGAGTCCTTCGCAGAATCTCCCAATGAGAACAAAGTCCTTTTATCTATCATTCATATTTTGCATTCCTCCTGGTAATTAGTTGCCATTTGTTGCAGTAACTCGGATTGCCTGATGTTACAGAAAAGTAAATATCAGAACTGATCTCAAATTCTTTATTGCTCTCCTGTCTATAGTGGCATCATTCCTTTGTTGTTACAGTTAACATTTCACTATATACCCTCTTTTGCATGCCATGTTTCAGCAGAGCTAATTGGTCTTGTCCCAAAGTATACTCCGTACAAAATGTCAGCAGGATTGAATTAATAACTTGTCGGTAAAAATAGCTTGGTGCCTCATAAATCAAAAACAGTTTAAATTTAAAGAAATGAGATTTTGCCAGTGACTGACTAATCCAGATCCCTCCTGGCTCATTTTTAACCAAAAACTGGCACAATATCAAAGCTTAAAACATGTGTATTGCACAAGGCTACATCTCCTCACTAAAATTAAATCTCTTGCATGACAGTTTTTTTCTAATTAACGTTGTTTTGCTAGACTAGAATATTTTCAATAGTGCATATTTGCAGCATCCTCCCACGAGAATGCAACAGGATCCTGTGGAGCGTTACACAGATAGTAAGGAAATCTGGGTTCTGTTGTCTCAAATTGAGACCATCTAAGTAACAAGGAAGTGGCTGTAGAGAGAAGGGTGGCTTTTTCTTTCCTTTGAATGAAAACTCTACATCTAACCAACCAGATGATTCTGACACAGCCCACCAACCAGGAGTTTGCTCCTCAGTCTATATCTACACAGCTCTTACTTCTCACAAGAGCCAAATGCGTGACACAGACCCAAACCAAGATGCATTAAAAATTAAACATGGAATGTGAGATGGATAATGATCTAGGGGGCTAGCCCCACTCCTGGTGAGCAAAGGGGCCAACCTTGTTTTTCCAGCTCTCTTCTTCTAAGATCAAAATCATCATGGTGATCAATTGAAGGAAGTACTAATTGAGGCAGTCCAAAATAATCAGATTGTTCACTATCCAGAAGAGTTTTACTGGGTGCTTTTTCTTTTAATGTTGAGGACAAGTAATGTTTCACGACATCAGTTGACTTGCATTGCATTCTCCATGGAAAAGACTGGGTGCATTGCCAATCTCGTCTCCCGGCTTTATCCCAGCTGTTCAAGTCTTGGATCACAGTTAAAACTAAGATTATTGCAAGACACTTCATCTGGTTTAAGAAATGGCATTCATCAGTTTTACAGGAATAACTAGTGAGAGAACAGCTGGTTTGAGTAGGAGGGAGGCAAATTTTGGGTCAAACTAGTGAGGAAAAAGCTGAAAGACGGGTGGGGGCAGGGAGTGTCCCACAGGATGCAACATCTGCCTTAAACTTCCTGGATATGATCAGTTTCTCCCCATCTCAGCAGTAATCATCGGGTTCCATGTATCTAACTGTATCTGCTTGATTGTTACGGTTATAGGTGTCCTGTCTGCAGGTACTGCCAAACACCTGAGCCAGTGGAAGAGAATAAATGCTTTGAGTGTGGAGTTCAAGAAGTAAGTAGGGGGGGTGGGAGATGAGTGAGACTTACTAGTTTTGATCCCACTGGTGCTTTTTGTCATTTTAGTTTCCAAAACCTATAATGCACGGGGCTGCTGTTGGCCCATCTTTCTTCTGGCTAGATTAGTGCACCCATTTTCCATTGGGGTTGGTCCACTGGGAGGGGATGCTGTTGCACAAAAAAAGATGTCCTGCTGTGTGAAAAATCTTCCCAGGGCCTTTGAGAAGCATAGCAGATGTTCAGAGCTTGCTTTCAGTGTTCCTTTGGGATGCCTCACTTTGGGAAGGTTGCTCTTTGGGCTGCCCTTGCATCTCGTGCACTGAGACCTCTTTCAGTAGACTTATACTGTACTTCTGCTGTCTTGCCTTTAGTCTTCACGGTGGTGCACAACAAGCAAACCCTGTGCCTTGCCTAGGAAGGTGATTGGAAATACGAGCAGCAGTGCGTGCTGTCAGTGGAGGATGCTAGCAGTTGTCCTTGCTGGATGCTTTCTCAAACCTCTAAAACCACACAAGCACCTTTTTCACATTAAAAAGTGTTACTCTTATATATGTGCAAAATCTCTCTCCTTCTGTTGACAGAACCTTTGGATTTGTTTGATATGTGGGCACATTGGATGCGGCCGTTATGTGAGCCGGCACGCTTACAAACACTTTGAGGAGACTCAGCACACTTATGCAATGCAGTTAACCAATCACAGAGTTTGGGACTATGCTGGAGGTAAACCTCTCCCTTCTGCTCTTAACGGTAACCTTGCTCGCTTGGACATAGTTCTCCGAATTTTTCTGCAGTGGCATTTTTAACACAGTCCTAGTAATAAAGTTAACATGAAGATTTCAAGGGAGTTTTTGCAGTGTTAATATCCCATCTTCTGGGGCCATCTGTTTTCTCTAGTAAAGCCATTCCAGATGCTTCAGGGGGAGGCCATAAACCCATAATGCCACGGGGCAGCCCTGTAGCATTGGTGGAATGGAGAGGCCTGTCTCCTGATCAATTTGCCCTGAGATTTTGTAACTATCTTAGCTAGTGTCAATGCTGATTCTGTTAAACGTGGACTACATTAAGTAATTACTAACCTCTTTGCCTCCGTATTACTCTGTGGCATCAAGCTGCATGATTAACTGCTGTGTAAAGTATTTCCCATAGTTCCAGCCAAGTTATAACACCTGGGTTTTCTCAAATTGAAACTACCCTTAGTTTGGTTGCTTTTCTCTCTTTAGATAATTATGTCCATCGACTGGTTGCAAGTAAAACTGATGGGAAGATAGTTCAGTATGAGTGTGAGGGGGATTTGTGTCAGGACGAAAAAATCGATTCCTTACAGTTAGAGGTAAATATTTAGCTTTCTTCAGATACGACTTTGTGCTGCTATATATAAACGTGCATCAACGCTAAATGTGACTAAAAATGGCATACGTTTTACTGCTTTTTACTACTTTTGGCTCTGCAGAGCCAACACAGCGAAGAGTTAGCTGGATTCTGTTCCTTCCTGTGCATCATCAACCAAAAGTTCATAAATTTCAGTCAGTTACATCTGTGCAAACTCAGTGGAGTTGCAGAGGTGTTACTGATGGCCAATTCTGGCCAGTGGAACGTTCCTTACTAGTGATGATACATGAGAAGGGAAGACTCCTAGTTTGACTTCAGGAACCCAGGGTGAGTTTGTGGGGCAGACAGAAGTAAACTGAGCATGCTTGAGCTAGAATCTAAGCTCTAGGACCCCATGGTGGCATTTTTTACAGTTATACTTTTCAGTGTGAAACCTTACTTGATGGCTAAATCACTATAACCTTATTTTTTCTGAGAACTTGAATTCTGCCATCTTAATTGGCCTTGGGTTCAAATTCGGCATACAAACCATCAACAGAACTTAATGTAGGATTTTTAAATGGATACTTTGCTGGTAGAGCAAACTAGATCAAACTTTTGTAGAAAGAATTTACTTGACTAGCTATTTGGAGTCTCTACTGAAAATGTTTAAGGGCTTTGTCTTCCTGGTTAAACCTGCATTGAAGTCCTAATCTGGTATTTGTTAGTGTGCAGCTAAGCAAACGATCATATTTTCCCAAATCCTCATTATAAATTTACTAGAAGATCAAACAGGAAAAGATGGGATGTAAAGCAATAAGTCCTTGTTTAAACACAAAAATAGCATTGGTAATGAGCGTTCCTCGCCAGAAGAAAGCACAAAATACTGAGGATAGTTATTCACAGCTGAAGATCAGTTATTTCTCCCCAGGTGCAGATCACATGAGATTTGCACCTAACCCCTCTTCTTAAGGATTTTAGAAGCCTGTTCAGTTGTAGAGTAAAACCACCTGAAAATGGAAAACAAAGTGCTGGCTCAGAGATCCTTCAATAGATCAAATGCAGATAGCAGGTGTGACTGGTAACTTCATGTTCTCGTTGAAGGTAAAAGCTAAGGGGACTTACCACTTTTTCTAGGGTGCTTTTATTGTCCTTTCCCCTCATTATAAAGCACTTACTATTGTGATGCTAGCGATGGTCCATTTAAAACTCACAGGGGGAACCCCACGAGCATGCAGTAAAGATTTTGCAATTAATTTGATTTTTTTTTTTCATTGTCTGTGCACTGCATCTGCAGTTTGTACCCATCTGTGAAAAGTTTAGCGTGCTGCTTCTGCACAGTTTAATTGTATTAGATATCTGGAGCCCTTTGGGTTTATTGGCATCTGTGAAACAGTGGTAACCTGCCCTAACTATATATTTCTGCATGTCTTGTATGATTGTAGTACTCATATTTGCTTACAAGCCAGCTGGAATCTCAGCGCATCTACTGGGAAAACAAGATAGTCCGAATAGAAAAGGATACAGCGGAAGAAGTAAGCTTTTTTTCTTCCCTAGTCTTGTTAATTGAACACTTGGCCTGATTCTCAATGTGCTGAACACCCCCAGATCCCATTGGCTCTAATGGGAGTTGCGGTTGCTCAGCACCTCTGACAATCATGCTATTACTGTGCAGTTTTAGTGTCAGGGAATTACGCTGCCATATGAAGGAGAGCTCCTTTTCTTCTTTAGAGGGGAATTAGCTTGGAGATCCCTCACCTGTCTTGTGCACAGACTCTGAAAATTGCTGATGAGCCGTGCAGAAGGAGGCAAAGCACCACCCAGATTGAAGCCTGATTTAAATTTGGTGGCTCTGAAACCTATGGAACTAGTGGAAATGTTAGGAAGCCCTGAAATGAAAATCTGGGAAATGTCACTCTATGCTACACTAGCCCTCACTAGTCTTTTGTGACATTAACTTGCTCCACTGAAGAAAGCAGAAATAATCTCTGCTCCGCACATCCCCCAAAAGATGTGTTGGTTTAGAGTTCTGTGATTTGTGGAGTGTTTTATGGGCAGGACTGATCCAAAATGTCTTGGGCAGAAAGGTACAGAGACGCTTTAGTGAAATTGGAGAATATAAAAAATATCCGTAATCTGTGCAGATCCGATTGGTGTTTGTGCTTTAAGTGAGTCAAAGCTCTTGGCTAAATCCTCAACTGAACCTTGGCTGCATGCTGTATAAGATTACATAAACTTTGTGGCTTCCAATTAATCATGCACTGTATCTGCAGTTAAGCCACTCCATAAACATATAAAGAATTCATTTAAAATTAGCTACATGTAGTGGGTCCCGAAAACTTCATTTTCAGTAAGAAATGGCTGAAGAACCGTATCTGTGTGTCTGTAAAAGAAAAAGTTTTATAGTTAAAATCCTCTTGGAAATAGCTGAAAACACAGTAGCTACAACTCTAGTTTTAAACTAAAATAACTAGGCCATATATTCTGAAGACGCCTCCTTATTCTACTTATTCTATATTCTTATTATACTTCTGTTAGTCTTAAAGGTGCCACAGGACCCTCTGTTGCTTTTTACAGATTCAGACTAACACGGCTACCCCTCTGATCCTTATTCTAAAGATCCCTGTAATTGTTCATGGAACTCTGTCCTTAGAAGGGCCTTTTGAATTAACTGTACAAAATATTCCACTATCCATTGGCAAGTGTGCCTCCCCAAATTAACCAGAAGTTGCATAAACATTAAACTATAAGTCTGAAAAGCAAAAAACCTGACCTGCTTTCACAGTGGCTCCATTGAAATCAGTGTGTGTGGTGGCTTTTAAACTTGTCAAGGCTGCTGCTTCAAAAAAGCAGTGTCCATTTCAGTCCATGTTGCCAGTATGTGAAAGGTTTTTTTATTAGATATTGAATCACATCTCTCTTTCCCCACTTTGAGCCATCATTCTGTTCACTGGGTTAGGATACAAAGACATTCCTTGTTTTTTTCATACATCATATTTAGTCCCCAGATCACGTATTGGAGTGTGGCTCTCTTTAAGCAAAGCAATGGTGCCTGGTTGTATATTGCAGTGGAACAGGACGCATACCTGGACATATGCAACTTTTTTGGTTTGCATTATGCATGACTGAGAGCTAATGTCAATAGGTCACTGTCCTATGACAGAGGTCGGCTGCTGCTTAGTAAACACTGAAGTGGAGCCAGCATCTGAATGTGAACTGCTAAACTAACTCTCTTTAAATTTAAACTTCAGAAAAAGAGGGCAGCAACTTAGGGATTTGCTGTAGGCTTATTTAGTGTCTCCCAAGGTCTGCCCCACACCATCTTTACAAGCTTAGGTGCGGTTCTCTAGAAGCAGATTCCATAACAATTAGCCTCTTGTCAGTGTTTCTGTTCATTCTTATTCTTTTTTGGCTAGCAGCATTTATAGGGATTTCTTCTTTTAAAAAAAAAAGGGGGGGGGGGATTTTTTTCTGCTGCTTTCAATCTTTTGAACACTTGCTCACCTCATTCAGTAATTGGTCAAAGTCTAGAAAATGCTCCCGAAAACATGACTGTCATAATGAAAGTGCACAGGACTTTGACCTGTTTGAAATGTCTGTCTGTTTTTACAGATTAACAACATGAAGACTAAATTTAAAGAGACCATTGAGAAATGTGACAATTTGGAGCACAGGCTGAACAACTTACTTAAAGAGAAACAATCTGTGGAAAGGAAGTATGTTTCTGTCTCTAAAAGTAGATTTTTAACAAGTCTAGCTCTGGTTTTTATACACGCTACTTTAAAACTCAAATTGGATCTGACTTTTTAAAACCCTCTTCATCAGGTTCTCAGTACTTCTTGAATATGAATATTTTTAATACCCTCAACTGGTGTGGTAAGGACCCTGACTTTAAAAATCCAATGTCCCACCTCTGTGGGTGTCTGATGTATTTAAAGTGGCTGTAGCATGGAATGCAGCTTTTGAGCTTCTGCTCTTTCCACATAGATTGCTTGGTTAGCATTCATTAAATCTTTCTCCTTCCATGCCCACTCAGAAGTGGAAGCCAGTCAGCTGTGTAGTCAGAAGGAATACAACCTGCAAAGGAAGGAAAGCAGCTGGAAGGAGGAATTCCCCATGAATAATGCGTTATTAAAACAAACTTTGAAGCATCTAAATTAAAGATGCCTAACATAGTGTCTGTCTTTGTAACAATCCCTAGCACTCTTGTACAGTCCCTGTCATCCCTGGTGCTTTACACACTTTCCTGGAAATTCGGCAAGCATTGTCCCTGTCATACGCACTGATTAAATTGGGGCACAAAGGTGGTGACTATCCCATGATCATCCAGAAAGTCCATAGTAAAGCTGGAGTCTGCTCAAGCCACCGTACCATACTGCGTGTGGAACATGTGTTTGTAGGCAAACGGATGACACAAAATTGCCAGTAAACCATAGGCTGGATTGGAAAACCAGTGTGATAAGGGATGACTGTTAACGTGTGATGGTTCTTTGTCCTTCTGCACTGTAGCTTGTTGTCCTCGCATCTTGATGGTACCAGTTGATTCTAATATCTAGCCAATGCCTAGATCTCTGTTCTAACCCAAAAGAGTATAATCCTGACACATTAATCCTCCTGCTGCATTACTGTTCAATATTGTCATTAATGACTTAGATAATGGTATGGAGAGTACACTTATAAAACTTGCAGATGACATCAAGCTGGGAGGGGTTGCAAGCACTTCAAAGGACAGGATTAGAATTCAGAATGATCTTGATAAATTGGAGAATTGGTCTGAAATCAACAAGATGAAATACAATAAAACCGAGTGCAAAGTGCTTCACTTAGGAAGGAAGAATCAAATCCATAACTGCAGAATGGGGAATAACTGGCTAGGCAGTAGCACTGCTGAACAGGATGTGGGGGTTATAGTGGATCACAGATGGAATGAGAGGCAATAATGTGTTGCAGCTGCGAAAAAGGCAAATATCATTCTGGAGTATATTGACAAGAGTACCGTATGTAAGACATGGGAGGCAATTGCCCTGTTCCCCTCAGCACTCGTGAGGGACGCTCAGCTGGAGTTCTGTGTCCAGTTTTGGACACTTTAGGAAAGATGTGGACAAATTGGAAAGCGCCCAGAGGAGAGCAACAAAAATGAGAAAAGGTTTAGCAAGCCCAACCTGTGAGGAAAGGTTAAACGAGGGGTTGGCAACCTTTCAGAAGTGGTGTGCCGAGTCTTCATTTATTCACTCTAATTTAAGGTTTCGCGTGCCAGTCATACATTTTAACGTTTTTAGAAGGCCTCTTTCTATAAGTCTATAATATATAACTAAATTATTGTTGTATGTAAAGTAAATAAAGTTTCAAAATGTTTCAGAAGCTTCATTTAAAATTAAATTAAAATGCAGAGCCCCCTGGACTGGTGGCCAGGACCTGGGCAGTGTGAGTGCCACTGAAAATCAGCTCACGTGCTGCCTTCGGCACCCGTGCCATAGGTTGCCTACCCCTCGGTTAAACAAACGGCACATTTAGTCGTGAGAAAAGACTGAAGGGTGACTGATTACTGTGTCTTCAAATCTGTTAAGGGCTGTTATAAAGAGGACAGTGATCAGTTGTTTTCTGTGTCCACTGAGTGTAGGACAAGAAGTAATCGGCTTTATTTGTAGCAAGGGAGATTTCGGTTGGATAGTAGGAAGAAACTTTCTAACTCTCTAAGGGTAATTAAGCTCTGGAACAGGCTTCCAAGGGACATTGTGGAAACCCCATCATTGGAGGTTTTTAAGAACAGATTGGACAAACCCCTGTCAGGGATGGTTTAGGATTACTTGGTCTGGCCTCAGCCCAGGGGGCTGGACTTGACCTCTTGGGGTCTCTTCCAGCTGTACCCTTCTGTGATTCTATAAACTTTGTCTGACTTAACACCCCTGATAGCTTAACTCCTCTGATAATTAGGCCACTGTGGCTGCAATGTCTCATTTGCTTTTTCCTTCTTGTCTGTTGTGTGCAAGGTGCGTTCAGCTGAATAACAAGGTGGCCAAACTCTCCAATGAGCTAAAGGAGGAACAGGAAATGAACAAATGTTTGCGAGCAAATCAGGTCTTACTGCAGAACAAACTAAAGGAAGAAGAGAAGGTTCTAAAGGAAACTTGTGAGCAGAAGGACCTGCAGATCACAGAGATACAGGAGCAGCTGCGAGATGTCATGTTCTACTTAGAAACACAACAGAAAATCAACCACCTCCCAGCTGAGACCAGGCAGGAAATCCAGGAAGGACAGATCAACATTGCAGTGGCATCTTCTGCAAGCTCACCAGCGGGGGGCATGGGAAAGCCGCCTTCTAGGAGAGGCCGTAGCAAAAGGGGCAAGTGAGGATTGGGACAAGCGGATCGACCTTGCTGCAACCGGCCCCACTTCTGAATGACCAGGCCCAAGTGTCGGGATTCAAGCTGAATGTTACGTTCAACACTAAATACCACATCCAAATAAGGCTCAGCTAGAAGTTGTTTTCAGAGCTTTTCATAAAGCTGGCTGCCAGCTAGTGGGGAATCTACAGTATTTAAAAGCATTTCACTGCATTAGCTAGCTAATCATAGGCAGATTTTAATCACCATTTTGCCTTCCTACCTTATCTAAGTCCCACTTCATACATTATTTTCTCCTTGGAGATTGTGTTCAGTTTTAGACGTGTCTGAAACACAAAACAAATCTTGGATCCCCTTAAAAGGACATGACAGGGTAGGTTCAGCCCAAAGTTTTAAAGGTGGTTTTTTTTTTTTAAAGCCTCTTCCTACTAACCAAGATCAGAAATGCTCATATAAATAAGAACTTTTAATTGAAAACCTGATTCAGTCCCCATCCCACTTAGTGTGTGCAACCCAAACACTGCAGCATTGTGCTAGTGCAGAATTAGGATAGGAATAGATGAGTTAGCATGGACAATGAAACGGAGTGACGTGTTTAAAAATAATAAACCATGGTAATGGTGTTGAGAATTAATGTGATACTCAGTGCTGTAAGGGAGTCCATTTTAAACAATTAACCAGCTGTCCCCTTTGAAGGTGGTCTGGTGCAGTGCTAACAGCTTTAAAGTACAAGGGATTGTGAAATGAGTATGCTATGGAAATAATTGAACACAATTATTTATATGCAGTGTTGTAGCTGTGTTGGTCCCAGGTTATTAGAGAGACAATGTGGGAAAGGTAATATCTTTTATTGGACCAACTTCTGTTGGTGAGAGAGACAAGCTTTTGAGCTTACGCGGAGCTTTTCCTCAGGTCTTGGTAAGCTTGAAAGCTTGTCTCACCAACAGAAGTTAATCCAACGAAAGACATTACCTCACCCACCTTGTCTCCATAATTATTTATAGGCATTCCTACTAATTAAATAGGAACCATGTATACAAAGACTGGTACCTCTTGCAGACTAACATTGTTACACTGTTCTGCTCTCTGAAGTATACTTCTTGGAATAAGATACATTTGTCTTCTGCATATTTAAATTGTGCCAGTGTGAGGTATCTGCATACTCTCGAGTGCTGTCCTCAGAGTGAGGCCGGAACGATACGTGTAGTGTGAAAACCACACATTCACTTTCCCCTCTCTGAATCCGTCACCTTTCAGATATGGCCCAAATACTCTTGGCTTTCACACTAGTCACTAGCTTGCTACCGTTCCAGGCTGCCATACACTTGAGGAACTGCTCACACTCCGTGTGCAGTCTGCACAGTCAGCTGCCAGGATAATGTAACATCTTCATACTGGGTGCAGTGACTAGCTGGGTGTATTGGCTGTACCCAGTTCCAGTGGTAGCTGAACACACACTGCAAGCCCAGGTCCTGAAAGTTATTAGGAGCCCAAATAGCTTTTAGGATCTGGACCTCAGGGGCTCCCTTATTTTCCTTTAACACCTCTTGTTTTTCCAGTTGAGAGGTAGAGACTGAAGCCACCCATTCAGTTTGCCCTACAGCCATCTGTGGGCATGCAGCCTTCTTAGGGAGAAAACTCTGGTTCAAGTCTGGCTCTTCATCCTGGAACCCATGTTAAACTTGATATGTTACAGTGTCTCCCTTAACTGAAGGCCTGCATGTGTGTGATGATATGTGCTCAGTGTTTAAAGGATGCAGACTTACCCTTTCTTACAAATGTGTGGGAGATCTTGTGACTGTGTCCTCTCCATGGGAGAAGCTGTTCAACATTCAACTGCAGCGGTTTCCTCAATTTAGGCCAAAACCAATGCAACTGAAGCTGTGACTTATCCAGTTGCTAAGCTGGACCAACAAGTGAAAGTAGCTTTAGTTTTTTATGGGCGAGTTACAGGAGCAAGGCTAGAATTGCATTGCATTAAATCTGCTTCTTGCCTTAACCAATTGGCTGGCTTTTTAGGAAGGTTATGTTTTCTTACACTTAAAGTACATGACTTTTGTTCATGCACCGAATGCATCCAATTCTTTGCTTTGTAGACTTGCCCTCATCTGCTGAAGCATGACTGTACATGAACTTTTTTTTAGGGTGTAGACTGTACAACCGGGCCTCTGGCTGCTGTAAAATATTCTAAAGAATTAGAAATGTACAACATAGCTTGCTCTCCTATAGAAACTCTATTTTATTTAAAATATATTTTTACACCAGCTGGGATCCTCTTACCTTTTGCTGAAAGCTTGCTGGGTGTAGAACACTGTATCCTAAAATTCCTTTTCAGAAAATGAGACCTACAATTAAAAGTGTACAGTATTTTTGTTTTGTAGCTGATCACACTATTGAGGGGGGAAATCTCTAATCAAGGAAGACAGGCTTGTGGGGGGGAGGGGGAGAGACTAAAACCCGAGCAAAAGGAGAACTGTGAAACAGAATGGTGGCGAAGGTAAAGAAATGGCGTTAGTAAAGTAAAAGATAGTCAGCTGAATTCCAGCCTGTCTGAGAGCTATTCAGGGGCCTATGTGAAATTTGTTGAGATTACTGGTTAGGTATCTATTTCAGACAGTCACCTCTCTGCAAGTCTAAGTTGCAAGGCCAGCAGTTGAATTAACACCTCCCTATGCGATATGGGGGCCAAACTACTCTCCGTCCTAACCATGTTCCATCCAGCTATACGCATGCTGGCAGGGCAATGGGAGCGGGGGAGCTTGCATGTTACTGCTCACTCTATACCTCTGCTGTAGCTAACAAGGACTTCTGTCCTGAGCTGTCACCGCAGCACCTTTCACAGGCACTCAGTCATTTTAAGGTAGTTTGCCAAGTGTTTGCACAGAATGAGATCAGCATTTGCAAATGGGTAGATTAGAATCCCTCTTATTTACATTTTAACAGTTGTGTGACACAGCCCTTGATGTAGTTCTTTCTGACTGACACTGTCCAGTAACATCTGAAACCAAGGATATTAAAAGTGCTGAAACTTGGGTGAATGGTCTCTCTGCATTTGTGTGAAATGTAACTGCGTGGGGGTGTCTAGCTAATGTACCAGGAAAAGATCTTTTAATGCCGCCTAAAGGAGATGAATGAATTTCAAAGGGGAAGAGAATCTCCTCCTCAGTTTATTTAACCTGGAAGAAGAGTCCAGATTTATCCCATTCAACTTGCTCTGTCTTTACAAGAATTGTTTGTTGTAGCCAGAGGTGATGTTACTCACTAGGATAATTGTTTGTTTATCACAGTTACTGGTCTAACTGTCCCTTCTTGGCCTCTTATAGTGCTGCCCGCTGCCCACCGTGGCCTGTCTTGGCCCATAATCTCTTGGGGTGGAATCATGCAATTTTCCCACTCTCAGACTGGGCCTCAGGCTGCAGTCCTCAGGTGCTAAGGGTGATTACCTCAGCAGGCCTGCAGTTCATTTCCTATGACTATAGTATCTAGTAACCAGAAACTCTCTTTAAAGCAAAGTATTATTTATTTAGAACCAAAGAAATTCAGTGGAAATAGGTCTTAAAACTAGAACCATGCGTAACTGCCTCAAAGCTTACCAGCCCCTGGAAACTGCGTCAGACATTTTTGTGTCTGGTTCTTCTCAGTATGTTCTCCCCAGAAACAGCACACTCCTAACTCTCCCTCCAGAGTCCCTTTAGCTGTTGTGTCCCTTTGGCCTCTAGGCTCCCATCCTTGCCAAAACACCTGGCCCTAGGCCTCTGTCCTGTAATTGCCCCCCAAGAGTTTGTTGGAAGGTTACTTATCTATAGCCTGTGTGTTGCTTTCCTGCGTGTTTTTCCAGCAGCCTCCCTGTTAAGCTAGATCAGGATATTCATGTAGGAAAGTGTAATAACCCATCATATACACTTCATCTCACTGAGCAGGTCCCATATAGTATTCATAAAACTATTACACATCACTATTCTTATCTGCTCCACATCTGCCACATTTTGTCATAATGCAGAACTACAAAACCATGGACAGATAATGTTCTTTGCCCTAAAGAATTTAAACTCTTCTTCCCTCCAACCCATTTTCTTTAACATGATCTGAAAGGGAGAAAATGAACAGGTTTATGCCGTGTGTGCTGATGTATAAGGAAGGCCAGAACTGGGGTCATTTCTTTCCCCACTAGAAATTGTCTTTGGTGCTTTTTCAAAGGGTATTTATGCTCCTAAGTCATTTAGGTGCCTCCTGGAAAATCTTATCCCTTCTCTATGTTGTCTTTCCTGGAAGATGTGGTCAAGTACCAGGAGTATTACATCATAGATATTAAGTACATAGACAATGACTGAGAGAGGAAGTGACTCTTATTCAGACTGCCCAAACCCCTGGGTGGTGGTTGATATCGACCCACTTAAAAGCCCTATAGATAGAGATCTGTTGCTAAACATCCAACACCTCTCCCCCTTCTATTAAGGGCTAAGACCGCACCCATGGACATAAACTCTCCCAGAAAAATTGGGAAGATGAGACTGGAGAGCCCTGTTCTTGCTAAAGTAAAAAAAAATCAGCCAGAACTCCTAACTTTTCATGCCTCCTGTCTGCATTATGAAGTAAAACTCCCCCCAACCCTTTTACAGTTCATTGTTATGAGGCCTCCACTGATGATTTGTTGGGCCCCTTATGTGGAGCTAAGTACAGCCCTTGCACTGGGGTCAGTTAAAGCTGGGTACACAGTTGAGGACAAAAGTTGGCTTGTCAGTTGCACATGTCCTGTAGCCTTTGTTGTACTAACTTATTTTTCATCCCAAAGTGCTTCATGCATGCTGTTCATTCAGCATTTTCAGACTTCATGTGCTTTATACATTAAATAGCCACAAGGGCTCAAAATCTTTTCCCAAAGAAAGAAACCTGAGTAAACCAACCTTCAACACCACAACTCACTGGGACGCTATCAGGGTGTTGTCCATAACTGTTCACGTATTTTTACATTGAGTTTTGTTTCCTATGGGTGGATAGCGCTGGTTACTGAGCAGGGACATGCTGCGCCAACAAAGGAGTAAAACCCAACTTCTGGTTCTTTTTGTAAACGTCATGCTAGTCTGATTGCCCTGGATGTTGAATTGCACAAGCTGTGTCAGCATGGCATGTGACAGCACCAGCATTCCCCTTAAACTGGAGCTGGTGGGAAGCTGAGTTTAGTCTCCAGGTCTGTTCAGCTCTTGGGCTAGCCTAGCAAGGGATTAAATCCAACACTGGATTTCACACAGGCCACCAAAGAGCCAGCAGATTGCCACAACTGTCAGTCACTATGAATGTGGCTGTGATTTGAAGTGATGTTCTAGATGTGAAAGGTTCTCTAGCCAACTAGCAATCCCCTTTGCCAGCCAGTTCCCCAAAACTTAACTGTTTATCTATCTTACATCATGCTGGGGAGGGAAAAGAGACCTAGCAGATTTCCCTTGTTCCTAATAAAACTAATATTTCCCCCGATAGATCTTGTGTTGTTTCAATTTGTGCCTTCCAACATCAGTGGGAGACAGAGAAAGAAAAGAGGATCTAATGGTTTTTAAGATAGAAAATCCAAAAATGAGATTTCTCTGTATCATGTTTGTCATGACCGATGGGTCATATTCAACAATTAACATCATCCCCAAAGGGCTCCCAAAAATGTCCCCATTTTCTTGAAAACTCTTTTTGATGCTCATTAATAGTTGCATCATAATCTGTTCTTCCTCCTTGGGTGTTGATTCAATTTCCAGTATCTCAGTAAAATATTTCCTTAGCAATCAGGATAGTCATCCAATTCGTATCCTCTCTGGAAACATGCAAGCTGGAGGAATCATTAAGCAAACAAAGAGCACGGATGGCAGACACTTTTTCCATAAATAACTGAGCAAGCTTCAGAGCTTGCTATTTCCTAGCAAGGTCGAATGCTCAGCCATCTTCAAACTGGGCTTGGAGTAGGGTGACCAGATGTCCTGATTTTATAGGGACAGTCCCAATATTTGGGGCTTTTTCTTATATAGGCACCTATTACCTCCCACCCCCTGTCCCGATTTTTCACACTTGCTATCTGGTCACCCTAGCTTGGAGCCTCTTTGAGAAAGTTCTGCCACTATGCCTCTCCCC